ATGGGGAGGTTGTGGCACCACCCCCTGTCATGCACAGAGCAGGGCCAATCAGGGGGTTAGGGCACTGCCCCCTGTCACTCACAGTGCAGGGCCCATCAGGGGGGTTGGGGCTCCGTACCCTGTCACGAACAGAGCAGGGCCCATCAGGGGGTTGGGGAGCTCCCCCCTGTCACCCACAGAGAAGGGCGGATCAGGGGGTTGGGGCGCCGCACCCTGTCACACTCAGGGCAGGGCCGATGGGGAGGTTATGGCTCTACCCCGTCACACACAGAGCAGGGCCCGGGGGAGGGGGATTGGGGTGCCGCACCCTGTCACACACAGAGCAGGGCTGATCAGGGGGTTAGGGTGCCTTCCCCTGTCACTAACAGAGCAGGGCAGATAGGGAGGTTGTGGCCCTGCCCCCTGTCACACACAGAGCCGCAGGGCGATCAGGGGGTTTGGGCGCTGTCCGCTGTCACGCTGATCCCGGTGTCGGGAGGCCTCGCGGCTCTGCTGATCCCGGTGCTGGGAGGCATATTACCCTTTTACTATATAGGATAGAGGTGCATGGGTGGGGGCCGGCTGGTTTGCCCTGAAGGGTGTCCTGGATCGGGGTGGGTGTCCCGCTTGGGTGCCTGGCCAGTCTGGGTGAGGGGCTGAGGGCTGTTTTCAGGCTGGCGGGTGACTGAAGCTCCCAACCGCTCCTTTTTTTTCTTTTCTTTTTTTTTATTCTGGGCCAGCTTTAGCTCTCAGGCTTGGCTCCAGCTCTTAGGCCTCCACTGCTGAAAGCAGGTATCTGGTTTGTTTGGGTTCTATAATCAAAACACTGTTTCAACTCCAGCTCTGAGATCCCAGCTGGCTGAAAGCAGGTTTCTGGGGTTTTGTTTAGCTTCTATATTTGTAACAATGTTTCAAACTGCAAGCTCAGAGGCCGGCAGTGGCAGGCGGGGAACATTGGAGTCGTCCGTCACTGAAGGAAGCAAGCCTCATGTTCGCTTCAAGCTGCCTGGCTGCCGGCCGCCATCTTGGCTGGCAGTTAATTTGCATATTGCCCTGATTAGCCAATGGGAAGGGTAGCGGAGGTACAGCTAATTACCATGTTTCTCTTTTATTAGATAGGATTTGTTTCAGGTATACAGCATAGTTGTTAGACAATTATATAATTTATAAAGTGATCCCCTCCCCCTGATTAATTCTGTTACCCACCTGGCACCATACATAGTTCTACAATATTATTGGTTACTTACCCTATGCTGTACTTTACAATGCCATGACTATTAGTAGCTATCAATCTGTACTTCTTAATTCTTTTCTTACCCAGCTACCCAAACCCACCCACCCTCATCTGGAAGCCTTAAGTTTTTTCTCTGTATCTATGAGTCTGTTTCTGTTTTATATGTTTGTGTTTTTTTGTTCTTTAGACTCCACACATAAATTAAATCAGATGGTATTTGTATTTCTCTTACTGACTTTTTTCATTTAGAATACCCTCTAGGTCAGCCCTGGGCAAACTATGGCCCGTGGGCCGGATCCAGCCCATTTGAAATGAATAAAACTAAAAAAAAAAAAAAAAAAAGACCGTACCCTTTTATGTAATGATGTTTACTTTGAATTTATATTAGTTCACACAAACACTCCATCCATGCTTTTGTTCCGGCCCTCTGGTCCAGTTTAAGAACCCATTGTGGCCCTTGAGTCAAAAAGTTTGCCCACCCCTGCTCTAGGTCCATTCTGCTGTCTCAAATTTTAAGATTTTATTATTATTATGGCCAAGTAATATTCCATTGTATAGATGTACCATCTCTTTTTTATCTACTCCTCTATTGATGGGCACTTGGGCAGTGAACATAAGGGTGCATATATCATTTTGAATTAGTGTTTTGGGTTTCTTCAAATATATGCCCAGAAGTGGAATTTCTGGGCCATAAAGTAATTCTGTTTTTAATTTATTAGGGAACCTCCACACTGTTTTTTGTAGTGGCTGCACCAATCTATCTTCCCAACAGTGCACTTGGGTTCCCTTTTCTCCACATCTTCACCAGCACTTGTTTGTGGATTTATTAGCAATAGCCATTCTGACAGGTGTAAGATGTTATCTCATTGTGGTTTAATTTGCATTTCTCTGACCATTAGTGGATTAGTGACTTCATATGTCTATTGGCCATCTGTATGTCCTCTTTGGAGAAATGTCTATTCAAGTCCTCTGCACATTTTTAAATTGGATTGTTTGTTATTTTGGTGTTGAGTTGTATGAGTTCTTTATAATTTTAGGATATTAACCTCTTATCAGATCTATCATTAGAAAATATGTTCTCCCATTCAATAGGTTGTCTTTTCACTTTATTGATGGTTTCCTTTGCGTTGTAAAAACTTTTTAGTTTGATATAGTCCCACTTTTTGATATAGTCCCATTTATTTATTTTTTCTTTTGTTTTCCCTGCCTGAGAAAATATACCAGAAAAATATTACTAAGAGAACTGTCAGAGTATATTGCCTATGTTTCCTTCTAGGAGGTTTATGGTTTCAAGTCTTTAATTTATTTTGAATTTATTCTTATATATGGCTACATATATAAGAAAGTAGTCTAGTTTCTTTCTTTCTTCTTCTTTTATTTTTTTGCATGTACCTGTACCTGTCCAATTTTCCCAACACCATTTATTGAATTGACTGTCAGTGCCTCAATGCATATTGTTGCTTCCTTTGTCAAATATTAACTGACCATATCGGTGTGGGTTTATTTCTGGATTCTCTATTCTGTTCCACTGATCTATGTGTCTGTTTTTATGCTATTACCATGCTATTTTGATTATTATAGCCTTGTAGTAGAGTTTGATATCAGATAGTGTGATACCTCCAATTTTGTTCTACTTTCTCAAGATTGCTGTGGATATTCAAGGTCTTTTGTGGTTACATATAGATTTTTGGATTATTTGTTCTAATTCTGTGATAAAATTCCATTGGTATTTTGATAGGGTTTGCCTTGAATATATAAAGTGCTTTGGGTAGGATAGACATTTTAATTATGTTAATTCTCCTGTACATGAGCATGGTGTATGCTTCCATTTACAGTCAAACCTCATTTCTCAAATGTCTTCCATCTTGAACAATTCAGTTCTGGACCCAGTTGTTCACAGAAAAAATGTCTCAGTTGTCCACCAAAACTTCAGTTTTCAACCTGACAACCCTTTCAGGTGGATACCTCAGCATGACAAAAAGTGTCTCTGAGGCAACAAAGGAGAGAATGCTTTTGTTGCTGGTGGAAATCAATGATTAGCACAATTTTAAAACATAAAGAGTGCTAATATTGCTAAGGGTGTGAAAGTGCTCATAAAACAATAATCACAGGCAATTGAATAGGTAGAAAAACTGTTGTTGATTGGATAAAGGAAAAACAGTTAGCCAGTGATAGCATTTTGAAGGCAGTGATATATGAAAAATTTGTCTAAGGCTAGAAGGGGATGGTTCCATAAATTTAAGAAGTGTTTATTTATAGATTAAACAGTATATTAGATATATACTGTATATAAGAAAGGTTAAAACAGGGGATCATTTGGGGGTCTAGAACAGATTAATTCAATTTACATTATTTGTAAAGGGAAAAAAATGATTCGGTTTTCTAACAAATCGCTTCTCAGATAGCTTTCTGGAACGAATTAAGTTTGAGAACTGAGGTTCCACTGTATTTGTGTCTTCTTTAGTTTCTTTCTTCCGTGTCTTATAATTTTCTGAGTACAGGTCTTTTACCTCCTTGGTTAAACTTATTTATTTTATTTTATTTTTTGATGCAATTATAAATGAGATTGTTTTCTTAGTTTCTCTTTCTGATAGTTTATCATCCTATATAATAAAAGCCTAATATGCAAATTCTCCCCTCGACCAGGAGTTTGACCAGGTGCGGGGCCAGCCGGCCAACAGCCCGAAGCCCCTTCCCCTGGCTGGCCCCTCCCTGGTCAGCGGTGGCGGAAGCAGGTGGCCACAGGAAGGGAGGCCCCTGCTGGCAGCTGGCAGCCACTAGGGACCCTACCTGTGCATGAATTTTGTGCCCTGGGCTTTTAATTGGTGTATAAAAATAAAACCAATTTCTAAATATTAATTTTGTGTCCTGCTACTTTACTGAATTCACTTATCAGTCCTAGTAATTTTGGGTGTAATCTTTAGGATTCTCTATTGTATTGTGCCATGTGCAAATAATGACAGTTTTACTTCTTCTTTCCTAATTTGGATTCCTTTTATTTCTTTTTCTTGTCTGATTGCTATGGCTAGGTCTTCTAGTACTATCTAAATATATAAAAGCCTAATATGCAAATTGTCTCCATGGGAGTTTGACCAGGAGACCGATCACTCTCTATGATGTGTGCTGACCATCAGGGGGCAGTGCGAAATGAAGGACGGCCCTGGCCATCAACCAGAAGGAAGGCCCCGATCGGCCCTGATTGCTAGCCAGGCCTAGGGACCCTACACGTGCAAGAATTTCGTGCAACGGGCCTCTAGTGTTGAATAAAAGTGGTGAAAGTGATCTTAAGGAAAACACTTCTAACTCTTTCCACTTAGTATTTTAGCTGTTCTCTCTCTCTTTTTAAAACTCCATATAATATTGCTTTCAGTCAGGTACCATCATATTAACTGAATGCTGGTGAGATACCCTCAAAGCAGAAATGAGACATATATACTGATTTAATGTTTTCAGTTGTCATGGTACCCATTTACATATTCAATCACTTGCTGGACAGGGATTATGCCAGTGATGGTGAACCTTTTGAGCTCGGCATGTCAGCATTTTGAAAAACCCTAACTTTGGTGCCGTGTCACATATAGAAATTTTTTGATATTTGCAACCATAGTAAAACAAAGACTTATATTCTTGATATTTATTTTATATATTTAAATGCCATTTAACAAAGAAAGATCAACCAAAAAAATGAGTTCACGTGTCACCTCTGACATGCGTGTCATAGGTTTGCCATCACTGGACTATGCTATAAACCACATCTACTCCTCTCTGCTTTATATTGCTCTGACACATCGCTTCTTGGCCTTTTGGCTAAGATCATGTGTAGTATATTGCTCTGACATGTATTGAGGCCCCAACAAGGACCCAACCTGATTATTTGAAACTAATGGCCCAGTGCACAGATTTGTGCACACTGAAAGAAAATTAATTGGAAGAAAGATTCGTGTGGTAATTACATTATTGCAAATAATTACATGTCAGAAAGTATATATAATATAGTATTAGAAAATTAAAACACATGTGCAATTGGCACCAGCAAGAGCTTCATATGTATCATGCATGTGTGAGTTTACGTTTATTTTTAAATTGCCAGTGCGCATCATATGTACCAGTCGGTTGGTTGGTCAGATGGTCAGATGGACGTATGGTCAGTCACTTAGCCTTTTATATATACATAGATACTTTATCCCTTGAACAAAAACTAAAGCTGTGTTCTGGTCTGGATTCTCATCTTTATGCTTCACCCTATTGTAGCCTCCACTGTCTCACTTGCCCTACATTAGCAGCTGCCTTGGGGCAAACACACACTGGGTGGAGAAAATAAGAAGCCCCACCATTCTATATTCAGGATGGCCTACCAGTTTTCTCTCTCCACCCTTTCCTTCTCAAGAAAATAAACAATATACAAAGATGGAATATCTTCTGTCACTTCCAGAGCAGGGAACAAAAATTCCCAATAGGAACCATATTTTTGCCTCTATAATTCTATGGCTTGGTCTCTGTAGACTCAGATACTCCAGCTGGCAAGAGGAAGGATTTACAGGGATGGCATGTGAATTAACTGTTTTGAAAGCCCCAAGAAAAAGGCAGTAAGTAAACAATAGGGGGCAGTTGACTTGTGTATAATGAATATTCAGTGTCCACTGATGTTTATGCCTTTATTTAAAAGGGCTTGTAATAGGTAAAACAGATATTAAGATGCCAAAAAATCCCAAGTTCTTGGTTTAATTCATCATTATCCTTTAGTAGAGAAATCCAACACAAGAATCAATATATATTTATTTATTATTTAAAATTTTATCTTAATAGATATTGACATGTATCTGTCTGCTGCATTCTTTCTTTGAGTAATTCCACAAGTGAAGACATGGCTTAGAACTGTTCTACTCAGAGCATAAACTGTTGCTAGGTTTATACTGAAGGGGATTTTAGTGTTACTTCTCTTTCTTTTAAAGTGAATACAAAATAACCCCAAATATAGAAAAGTATAATTAAATGTGTTTTAACTACATTGAAGACAGATGCTTAAATAAACAGTAATTGTTTCACATCTTGGAACTGAATACTGTATGAATCCATCACAATAAATCTGCCTTTGCTAAGAAAAAATACTTTCCCATTTTGTTGATACCTAGGTCATGGTTCCTAAGAACGGATACAATGTTCAGGAAACAGTTGCATTTTTTCCCCTGAAGAGTAATTTTTGAGACATTTTTGTAGATCTCACATAGTCGTCATTGGCTGTTGGATGGCTTGAAATGTCAGCGAACTGTGTACCTGCAGAGGAAAATGACAGTGGAAAGTAGATGAACAGCATGAAAATTCACTTGTGAAATAATGAAACTATTACTTTTTTTGCCAACAAAACATGTGCAACAAAATATTTAAGAAATTAAAAATGCAGAACGAAAGGAAAAAGGACTGAGAGTAAACTTTTAACTTTATCAACTTTGGTAATTGTATATGAAAATAGTCCAAGTTTAAATAAGACCATCCTTTGGGAGGGGTTACAGGTAGAACTATTTTCCTTTGAATAGAATTAAATTTTATAATTTGTAATTAAATTTTATAATTTTATAAGCATTAATGAAAATTATTTTCTTAAAATAAACAGAATAATCTAGAAATTTGTTAAAGCATTAATCAGATCATTGGTCTGATGGAACTTTATTTGCCATTTTAAAAACATCTCGTTCAGCCCTGGCCAATGTGGTTGCCTTTTCCCGTGCACCAAAGGGTCTTAGGTTTGATTCCCGCTCAAGGGCAAGTACCTGGGTTGCAGCTTTGATCCTGGCCAGGTCAGGGTATGTGCAAAAGACAGCCAATCAATGTGTGTCTCTCACATTGATGTTTCTCTCTCTTTCCCCTCTCCCCTCTCTCTCTAAAAAACAATGACAATAAAAAATTATTTAAGAAATGCTGTCTATCTTTTGAAACTTAGAATTGTTTCAAGCAATGGGAAGAAGTAGTGGCCACAGTTCTGCCCTGCTGCTGTTGGCACTGAATTTTCAGACAATTCCTGAGTTTATGGATGAGTAAACAGGGGGTGCAAGTTTGGCAGCCAGCTCCAAAGACCCTTTCTCAGTAGCCCATGAATTTGCTAGTGGGATGGTACATGGCAGAGAAGGGAAGTTGTCTGAAAGGCTTCCTATTAGTTCTCATATCTTTGTCATGAATGAAGCCACAGTCTAGATATGGCTTCTCCTCTTGGCCATTTAATTTAGTTTTATTTTATTTTTTTGTTAATCTTCACCCAAGGATATTTTTTCCATTGATTTTGAGAGAGAGAGGGAGAGAGAGGGAGAGGAGAGAGAGAGAGAGAGAGAGAGAAGGAGGAGGAGGAGGAGGAGGAGGAGGAGGAGGAGGAGGAGGAGGAGGAGGAGGAGGAGGAGGTTAGGAGGGAAGAATGGAGGGAGGGATGGAGGGGGAGAGAGACATAGATGTGTCTATGGTTGTCTCCCAAATGCTCTCCGACTGGGAGCAGGGACTGAACCCACAACTCAGGTACATGCCCTTGACTGAGAAACCTGAGACCCTTTGGTGCATGGGTTGATGCCCTAATTACTTAGCCACAACGACCAAGGCTTGGCCATTTAACTTTTATAATTCTACCAGTGATTATAATACATACCGAGTAAACACTATTTTATAGCCAGCAGAAGAATTTGGGTTTGTAATTGGGAAGAATCTGGGCACTAACAGAATAAATCCTTGAACAAACTTTTCAGAGATAACAGAAAAAAATATGAGGGGAAGAAGCAGGAATCTAGGTCTGACATTTAGGAATGTAAGTACAAGGAGGAAAATAAATATTAGAGATGGAACTTTGAACCAATGGGCTTTATTAACAACAGTTTAGTCATGATAACTCTAGAACATGATATAAATATTTACTAGATAAATACACAGAATTTTCTCTATATCCACATATTTAAAGCAGAATATAATGATCTGGACTGGAAATGTAAATTTCTGTGATTTCTTGGCATTCTCTCATCATTGTGCATGCTATTCCCTCGTGATTTGCAATCTCCAATTAGCTTTGCAATTATAGTTTTAGTAAAATGTGTCACTGGTCTTCACTTCTAAATGCCTAATATCACTTTAATACAAGCAGTAAGGAGATTAACAGGCACCTTGGTGATGAAGTACTTGTCCTATGTCAATAATGCTAATATTTAATCTTGCAAGAGATTCAGCACTTATTTTAAAGCATCTCACTTACTTTTTGCATGCCTTGTACATTACCATCTAGCACAAGAGTCTCATCTACAACTTGGAAGATATTTATATTCATGTAGTGGCTGTGTTTTAGAAATACAAAATATGGCACTATATTATCAATTCTGATTTCCATAAGTCATCCAAGAAAAGTAGTCTCATTATGCTATAGTCTTGTTAAACAGATGAATTCTGGTTATCTTCTACATTCTTATTGACTTTTTTTTCTAAGAAGAAGTCTGTATAGTTCTAAAAAGAATTTGCAACAGCTTACCTCATATACAACAGTGTATTGTCAAACTCAATCATCTAATTAAATCAGGGAAATAAATAGCAAGTTTCCCTATAACTATGTGACTTGGAGTTCACAATTTAGGGAAGTGCTTGTATTCACTTGTTCATCTCTTCAAATACCTAAGATATTTAAGCCTGGAGGAGGCTTGAATCCACTGTATTATCATTCATTCATTATCTACCAATTTGTACTAGGTCCTTCTATTTCCTCTGGAGATTTAGAACTTTATAATAATAACTAGAGGCCCAGTGCACAAAATTCGTGCACTTGGCGGGGGGGTCCCTCAGCCTGGCCTGCACCCTCTTGCAGTCTGGGAGCCCTTGTGGGATGTCCAACTGGAGTGGGACTAAGCCGGCAGTCAGACATCCTTAGTGCTGCCATGAAGGTGGGAGAGGTTCCTGTCACCGCCGCTGCACTAGCCAGCTGTGAGCCCGGCTCAGGGCTTCTGGCTGAGCGGTGCTCCCCTTGTGGGAACGCACTGACCACCAGGGGGAAGCTCCTGTATTGAGCCCGCTGGCGGTCAGTGTGCGTCATAGTGCCGTTTGGTCAATTTGCATATTAGCCTTTTATTATATAGGATAGAGGCCTGGTGCATGGGTGGGGGCTGGCTGGTTTGCCCTGAAGGGTGTCCCGGATTAGGGTGGGGGTCCCACTGGGTGCCTTGCCAGCCTGGGTGAGGGGCTGAGGGCCATTTTCAGACTGGCCACACCCCCTTCAGGGTGGGGTCCCCACTGGAGTGCCTGGCCAGCCTGGGTGAGGAGCTGATGGCTGTTTGCAGGCTGGCCACAGCCCCTTCAGGGTGGGGGTCCCTGCTGGGGTGCCTGGCAAGCCTGGGTGAGGGGTTCAGGGCTGTTTGCAGGCTGGCCAACAGCCCCTTCAGGGTGGAGGGTCCTGCTGGGGTGCCAGGCCAGTCTGGGTGAGGGGCTGATGGCTGTTTGCAGGCTGGCCAAGCCCCCCAGCAGGGACCCTCACCCAATGAGTTTGTGGCCATCCTGGGTGAGGGGCTGATGGTTGTTTGCAGGCTGGTCACAGTCCCCAGCAACCCAAGCTCCAGTGGAGGCTGGCGGGAAGCAGGTATCTGGGATTTTTTATCTTCTATAACTGAAACTTTGTTGCCTTGAGCGGAGGCCACAGCCGGCCAGGGCAGGCGGGAAGCTTGGCTTCCTCCATCGCCAGGGCAACCAAGCCTCTGGCTTGCTCCAGCTCTGTGGCTGCCAGACGCCATCTTGGTTGGGTTAATATGCATATAGTCTCTCTAATTGGCTGGTGGGCATGGCTTGGGCATAGCAGAGGTGCGGTCAATTTGCATGTTTCTCTTTTATTAGATTAGATTATATATATTATTTATTCTGATGAGCAGGTTCTAAAGAAGTATATTCTTCAAATAGAGGTTACTTTAAGGTTGTAACAAGATAAATCTCTGTTTCACCATTTAAAAAACCACTGTTAAAAGTGA